TAGCTATTTTTCTTCTTTTCGGGGATGGCTCTTCGCCAGCTGGCCGCTTCCCCTAGAGCTTCTCGCGGACATACGACGTCCGCTCGTCTTCAACTCCATCGTTAAGGTCGACCGAGCTATCCCTATCAGCCTCTAGGCTGGTTCGACGCTAAGGACTGCTCGATCGGGCATCAACACCCCTCGGCTAGTCAACTGACGGCATCATCAAGAAGTATACCGCCCGATCATGCCCATGAATCTTCAGGAAAATGAAAGAGTATATTGCAACAGATAAGGGATCAAGCAAAACTAAAAAAAAGACTCTTACCCGTGGTGGGAGGGTCCCTACACTAAAGGCCCTCTGCTGATCGTTGATCCTTAGACGCCCCATGAGGTTAAACAACAATCCAATTTGCCGCATGACTTTATCCCGGTCAATCGGCTCTGGCACCTTACGGGTCCCATCAGTATCTCCTCGGAATTCATATCCGGGATGTGCTCTCTCATTGCTGGGTTGGCATCGCTGAAAAGTGAAGTTCGTCGCTACTATGACCCCATCCACCCTTCTCTGGTCGATCAGTGCCAATAGCTCCATCACTTGCTCCATCCCATTGACACCAGGTCTCTCCGACCACTTGGCGTTGCTCACGGGAATCTGATCAATGTCGCATGCCACATAGTGTTCCCCCTATGGCATGTAGAACCATCACTACGCCCAATACTTCACATTTGTGTTCAACGGGGTGGTGATGTATTGGACAACCATCCCGTTCCAAAGCTGTAAGTATGCGCTGCCTACGATCCTAGATCCAGATCCCCCCGGGCTTTCAAACAGAAGAAGTGGCGGGAGGGATCAAAATGCGAAAGAATGCTAAGATAAGCTTCACAAAAATGGATGAAGACAGAGACATGAAGGATGGAATTCAGGCCCGGATTGCAAAGACTAATCTCGTAATAGTCAATCAATCCACGGAGGAACGGATGGATTGGAACACCAAATCCGCGATAGAAATAATCTTCAAAAACTACTAATTCGTCGCCACGAGGAGTCTGAAAGTTGTCACCTCGAGCCAGACGCCATCCCGCCTTCACCCTATTGGGCAGCACACCATCCTCCACCAACCGATTGAGCGTCGCCTCGTTGCTGATGGACTCCACCCATTCCTCGGCACGATTGAGCTTGTGTGATGCTCTACTTGAACCACCATGGTTTCTTTTGGGCGCCATCTAACATATCCATGGTCTGGAGGAGACTACACACTTGCAGTTGCTCTAGTGGCAGAGCAGTTGCCAGGCGAAGCGGTGTGGGCGCGAGGAAGAAGATGAAGTGGCGGAGAGAAAGTGGGGAATGTGCGTCGGGGGCGCGGCGCTCTTATAGCGGTTCGACCCCTGACCCTCTGCCTTCTAGGGTTTTTGGGAAACCGTGCTAGCCGCGCCGCATTCTATCCCGACATCTCCGCACGCCGCTGGGCCGCTGAGTGGGCCTAGTGGGCCGCCGCGTCAAACCGTGTCAAACACGGATTGATATTCAACGCCAAGCGTTGCTACGACATGATATTTTCTTTCTCTGACCCTACTACAAGATTTCTTCGTAATCTTACAGCATGCTCGGGGACTATGTGTGTACATGTCATCTAGTGATGACTGTGTTGTTTTTCTCAGCTAAGCTGGGAACTGGTTCAACACCTGAAGACTACTACTTTGGACCCTGACACCACGAGACTACTTTACCTAGTGCCAGGCTCGGGGACTAAGTGGGCACACTTCACCTTGCGGTGAATGTGCTTATTTCTTTGACTTAGATCTCTTCAAAGCGGTTAAGTTCTTCCACGCTAACTAAGGCAAGGATGGCATGCGACCAACTTCGACGCCCAGAATCTAAGTGGGCACACTTCACCTAAGATGGAGACTGCTTTTTTTTACTTGAGCTCCTTACATCCTTCTGACAAACCTTGGCTTCGAGTGTGCTCGGCTCCAGCAACCAGACGAACAGCTCGGACGCATGCTCAAACAGCTTGGGCGCATGTTCAAATAGCTCGGACAGCATGTTCAACAGCTCGGATGCATGGTCAACAGCTCGGACAAGCTCAAGATGGGTTACTCAACGGATGCAAGGCGCTCAGGGAATAGCTGTGGGGGTATAACCCCCGATACCAGCAGGGCTGTACATGGGCCGAGCCGCTAAGGGAGGTCCGACCCACATGACTGCGCATGGGCCACGCCACTAGTGGAGGCCTAGCCTACAAGATGACGCGTGCAAAGCACGACACAGGTCGTCGTGCCTCGCAAGACTACGTGAAGATCTTCGGTGATCTAAGAAACCTACTCGGATATGTTAGATCTCGTAATATCTGTAACTTCCTATCTTGTAAAACCGATCAGGATAGAAATAACCGATATGTAACCCTACCCTCGGGCTATATAAGGTGGGTAGGGACCTCCCTCGTTTTTATCTTATCATACGCAATACAACACACCGAAGACACACAGACGTAGGGTATTATGCCAAGTCACGGCATGAACCTGTCTAATCGCTGTCTCTTACGTTATGTGTCACCATCCGGTTCCCTCACATGTACCTCCACCGATTCATCTACCACCGTGGACATACCCCTCGGTAGACTGTCGGGCCATGGACACCAACTCAATTCCAAACACCTCCCATAATTCTGGTCCCTAGGTCAATGGGTTAGCTTATGCTGAAATTTGGCTTATGCTGAAATATTATGAAAGAAAAACAATGTTCTATTGCTGGAAAAGTAGTGCTGAATAAGCTCAAGCAAACAGTAGATACACGATGGTCAAAAGTAGGACACGGTGGTGGAGCCAGGAATTTTACACAGGGAGACCAGCGATTGTTATAATAAATGTGACAGGGGAGATGAAGATTGACCATATACTTTACCAGATGTAACACATAAAAGTCATGATTTCATATTTTTTATAACATAAAAGTTGTTGCAGGCAAAAGTATTCTTATGAACTAACCTTTTCATTTTAATCTCACTAAGCATGTCTTCATATCATAGAAATTACCAATATTTTAGTTGTGAACTCAAATACCAAAAAGGAGGGATGCTATATAACCTGTCAATCAAATAATAGTCATTTTATTTTATTTTAAATTTCAGCTAGTTGACGGCATAAATCAGCAATAGTTAGTAAGTTCTAAAATTGTGGATTTGTGAGGACATCAAGCTCATAATGTTGTGATTGATGTTTTTTTTCCTTGAAAACACAAGAGTTGCGCTTTATCATTATATTAAGAAGAAAATATGGGACAAGAACCCAAACACCCACACCCACACTCTACACACACCAAACTAAAGTTACATTCTCTTCTGCTTAAACATAAAAAGATGATCACAAAACCAAACAACCAGACCACTCTAAGGCAAAAGTGTTGGGGCAGTCAAGGAAGAGAGGCTGCACCTCCTATCTCCCAAAGACGCCCCGTAACATTAAGAGCCCTTGCAATGCTAGGAGCAGCTCCATTAAAAACACAAGAATTGCGGTGAGTCCAAAGAACCCAAGCCCCTAGTCTCTCCGTAGAATTGAGACATTTCTTTTGTTGTTCCGGAGCAGCATGCTACGATCTGTCCCACCAATCATCGAACACCAAATCAATTGCCTGAGGAGCAAATTGCTGCAGCCCAACTTGACATAGCAGGAATACCAGTATTGCCTTGCAAAGGGACAGGAAACTAGAAGATGATTAATTGTCTCTTGCTCCTGATCTCACAAAGGACAGCGTTCCGGACAGGGCAGACCTCTACGGGCAAGACGATCAACCGTCCAACACTTGTCATGTTCGACTAACCATAAGAAGAACTTGCATTTTCTCAAGTTATTCTAAATCATTTGCATTTGACTGGTTGGAAGCCACTGTCCAGAACAGAACCAAATTGTCAAAAAAGAAAGAAAGCAAAAAGACAGGTTCGAAGCCTGTGTCCCGGAACAGAATTGTAAATTTTGCCCCTCCTTGCCACTTTCTGTTTGTGTCTGGCATCATATCATCTTCCATACTATCGTAATAAGGCCTTGTTTAAATCGAATATTATAGTTTTAGGATGTTATATGAGAATGTTGTATAGGGTATTAATAAAAAAATAAACTACAGAATCCATTAGTAAACCACGAGATGAATTTATTAAGCCTAATTAATCCATCACTAGCACGTATGTACTGTAGCACCACATTGTCAAATCGTAGACTAATTAGGCTTAAAAGATTCGTCTCGCAAAGTAGTTGCAATCTGTACAATTAATTATTTTTTAGTCTATATTTAATACTCTATACATATGTCTAAATATTCAATAGGATAGGGCGTAAAGTTTTGGAGAGGAACTCATCAAGGCCTAAGTTTGAGTGAAAACAACTCGATAAGGTTGAGCTTGATTTCATGCATCAGCAGGACATACTGTAGATCACAGCAGAAGCAAAAACATACACATTTTTCATATCGGAGCAGATGTATATCACAACAAAAGCAAAGCATATACATTTTCATGGAGCGATGTATCCGTTTCTCGGCGCAAATCTAACCACTTAGTTAAGTTTTCAAGCCCAACATGGAACAGTACAGACCAGAGCCTTAAATCTGATTGGATTCGGACTCAGAAATCCACTAACCTTTGGTAGTCAATACAAAGGTCAATGATGGCAAGCCTGTTCGTTTGCTCATAAACGATCGTAAATTTTCAGCCAAAAATAGTGTTTTTCTCTCACACCAAACCAGCCAGCGATAAATAATCCACAATACGATACGATACGGTCTCCCAACAACCATATTTATATGGGAAGACCCTAATACGAATAAAATTGGCTATGCGGCAGCAAAATCTCACATCAGAACTTGATAACTTATATTGCATACCATTGTAATCACTTAATTAATTTGATCATACTTCAAACTACATAACCAGAAACTACATAACCAGAAGCAGTACAAAATAGTCGTCGAATTAACCAATGTGAACTCAACGCCACCACATACACAGGGAGATCAAGGCCTGTCAGATTCAATTTTCGAGTCCAGGCACCTGCATGCGTCGGTTGGCCTCCGACTTCTTACCGCCGAAGAACTCGTCGGGGACGACCTTGAGCTGCTTGCGCTTCTTGGACTTGGCGATCTTCTGGATCGTCTTGGGGTTGGTGACCCGCTGCAGCTTGGTGCCCGTGCGGAGCACGTTCTCCTGCTTGCGCTTCTCCCGCTCCTCGCGGGCCTTCCGCTTCGCCACCTTGTTCTGCCGGATCTCCTCCTTGAGCTCCGCCTTGCGGGCCTGGTACGCGCGCTTCAGCGACTTCTCCCGGACGCGCTGCTCCAGCGGGGTCCGCTTCCGCGACACCACCACGGCCGACGCCCGCCGGGTGCGGGGCTCCTTCCACCGGCGCCCCGACACGCGCCCCGCCATGACGCCGTCGTAGGTGGGCTGGCCGAAGGAGGCCGGCTTCGACGGGTCGGAGAGGGAAGGCATGGCGCGGAGCTTAGAAGGCCGGGCCGCGTCGGCATCGAGGTCCATGGAGTCCGCCGCCGCCGCCTCTGCCTCCTCGCGGCGCTTGCGCTTGCCGCGCTCGCCGCCGAGGCCCTCATCCAGGTAGCGGAAGTCGAGGTGGGAGGCCATGGGGGAACCGGTCGGGTGCTTGGTGGCGCGATTTGGGAGGAGGGGCGGAGGGAGGACGAATGAGCAGGCGGCGGTGTGGGTTTATTAGGGTTTGTGATGAAGAGTACCAGCGGATGGCGGCTGGCTGGATGGGCCGGGCCGCTTTGCCAAGGGCGATGTTTACTGGTGAGACGGTCCGGGACTCCGGGCTTGCCAGAGAAAAATATAACATGGACTTCAGCTCCTCTCTCTGTCTCTCTCTCTCTCTCTCTCTCAAAAAAAAGACGTCTTCAGCCTAGAAGATTGACCAAAGTAAACTGGGGATGCATACGAATGGTACTACACGGGGATTATATAGTTCAGAAAATATTGATCAAAAGTTTTTTTTTTGAAACTAATATTGATCAAAAGTCGAGTGAAGACCAAACATATTTTCCTCTTATAGGAAAAAAAAAGACAGTCGTTTCCTCCACATATAGAAACTACTCCCTCCACTCAGTTTCTCCGAAATTACACTGCCACATTTGTTTTATACCATATTTTTTATGATTATAAATTCGCTATCATTTAGTACATTTGATTATAAATACAACCATATCCAGTTTGTATTACAATAGTTATAAATTATTGGTCAGAGATTGCAAACTTTGAACCTTATCAACCGGCTTATCAGCCAGAATCTACAGTGTCTTTCTCTCACAACAAATCAGCTTCAGCCGACTTATCAGCCGGCTTTAATACCAGCCGAACAGGCCCTTAATACGCATATGCCACCTTATAAACAGGACCGCAGAGAGTACTCTAATAGTTTCAAGGCATACAAAAGGTACTGTTCGGTTTAATGGTCAATAAGAATGCAACCAACGCAAACAGCAGTTGGACGGTAAGCACTATGAAACAAACAGACAAGGTCGCGCTTGATTACGAAATACATAAGGATACATGATAGCATGACAGCAACCAGCAAGCCCAAAAGAGAACTGTTCCATATTTTCTCTTATTTCCAGTTAAGAATTAAGGTCACAAAAATTTGCGTAAAAATTAATACCGAGTTTGCTCAGTTACTCCAAACCCAAACCAGGTCAGAAACGAGATACCTGAAGATTGTACAAGGATTTGCCGAACAAAATGGTGATCTAAACCTACGAGGAACAAATATTTAGTCAGGACTAGTTACCTAGCCCAAGAGAAAAGAAAAATGTATTAAACACACGGTTGGTCTTTAACCCAGTTTGGCAATGACTGCATCTGTGACTTCCTGGGTGGTGCTGGTGCCGCCCAAATCTTTGGTTCTGTACTTGCCTTCTGCAATGACACGCTTAACTGCCGTCTCCAGCCGGTCAGCAAATGACGGAAATTGCAAGTGCCTCAACATCATGGCAGAAGATAGCAGCAGCGCAACAGGGTTAGCTCTCTTCTTCTCCACAATTTTCTCATTTCCAACATTTCCTGCAGAAGCACCTTGCTCAAAGATAGCATGGTCCTGACCCACATTACCTGAAAAGATGCAGCACATGAAGATTCACAGGCCTTCCAAATTTGTATACTGCATCTACTCAAATATGAGTACTAAACTTGCACAATCTTGCTATACAAAACTCATGGAAAAGATTAACAGCAGTACGAAAACAAAAAACACATAGATGGATGCAGTAAACGAGCCAAAAAAAGATCAAACAATGGGCAGATGCAAATACAACTTTACATAAAACCATGTATGCTATTTGCACGTGTAGGATTCGTAAATCATAGTTAAAACTCTACCTCCAGGCATGACACCAGTGCCTCCAGCAATACCTGCAGCTACATTAGCCACCAGATTGCCATAAAGATTTGGGGTGACCTATAAGAGGAACCAAAGAAAAGTATGTTCAAACTCCACAGGTAATCTAAGTAAATCATTTGAAATCTTCAGATTATTCTGGAAAAAAAACATATAGAACAGAGAAAACAAAGGAAAATGTGAGCTTGGCGACATTACCAACTAACATGCTTTTATATCACATTTGTAGAGCATAGTTCATTTGGTATTCAAATAGTCCACAAAAGACCAGCATAAGATTGTAGGTATATAAGTATATAACATGTGGCATATCCAAGATCATAAAGACAACAGGTGTTGTATTTTGCTTTTGTAGAATAAGAAAACCACATCAAACATCACCTAGGTGAGAAACTGTGTCAATTAAGTCATAAGAGTGAATACACGTACCATAACATCAAATTGCTCAGGTTTTGCAACAAGCTGCATACAACAGTTGTCCACAATGATTTCATTATATTGAATTCCAGGGTACTTCTTTGCAACCTCACGGCAAGACTCCAAGAACAAACCATCAGCAAGCTTCATAATGTTGGCTTTATGCACTGCTGTCACTTTCTTTCGATTGTTAAGGTATGCATACTCAAAAGCATACTTCGCAATTCTTTCAGAGCAAAATTTTGTTATCACCTAGCAAATCAACAAAGTGATAGTAAACAGTAATGAGGTGAAATATTCTTTTATATGGCAAAATAGAAAGGAGCAGAAATATTTTATGCACTTTACAATAGATATGGGCATATGGCATTGTGGGAAAACTCGGCGTGCCATAAGAATGTGTACTAAAAGAACTTGCAATATGTTCCAACAGCAGATACAGTTTCGGTGAAAAAGCACTCATGTAAAGAGAGGTTTATTACACTGCAACTTGTAAAATGTAGGTTTCCGAGATATCTGGCTTTTGAGCAACGATAACCCAAAGAGCATTCGCCGCCAAGTCAAAACAGGGTACCATAGTCAACCAGTCTAACAAAATTTAAAAAATTAAACCAATATTTGGAGTTTAGGCCCACCATTCATGACATCAAATAGAAATGTCATGGAACAGACTAAAAAATCAAGTTAACAAAAATAGATTGCACAATACTGTGGTATTTTTGGCAACTTTATAAGGTTACACCAACTAGGCCATAAATCGGGATACATACTAGGAACTCCAGTCCCTATCTGTTGCTACATTATTGAAAGTTAGATGGGGTGTATGAACGAATAACACTTAACACCCCTTTGAACTTTATATTTTATTAATGATGAAAAATTACATTCACTACTCCACACATGAACATAGCAAATTAACGGCATGTTCGCTGGTTGGTTTCTGGGCTGATAAGCCTGGCTGGTGCTGGTTTGTTGTGAGAGGAAAACACTGTTGGCTGGCTGATAAGCCCTGACTGAAACCAACGAGCGAACAGGCTGTAAAATTGTATTCTTTGATTCGCGTTTGACGGGCGGGCCTGGTGCAAGCGGTAGAGTCTTGCCGCCTGTGACCGGAAGGTCCCGGGTTCAAGTCGCGGTCTCCTCGCATTGCACAGGCGAGGGTAAGGCTTGCCACTGACACTGACACCCTTCCCAGGACCCTCTTGCTCAGACTGGTACGCCCTTTTTTATTCTTTGATTCATGTGACACGGAGAACTTAGAGAATAAGGTGATTTTTATTCTTTAAATTCATGCATGTTAGAGCGGGAGCTTAGAGAATAAGGTGATGCAAGTTATCTTTAAACTCTAACATGCATGTTATGTGCTCAGATGTCAAGATGTCATTAACAAAGAGTAATGGCCATTAAATTTGCCATTACTATTATATCCAATGTTTCAAAAGAACACTAGGAATTAGGCAGGCGGTCAGGCACTGCCTAAGGATCCTAGGCGATTGGATTTTTTTTCTGATCAATTAGAGTGATGTCATGTTAAATAGAGAAGATATGCATATTAGAAGAAAGACCTTAGTATTATCACAGGTCCATGATTTCCATGACCATACTTCATCTTCCTCCATCTCCAATAGTCCCATTTTCTTTCATAGATCAATACCAAACCCACTCACACTCCCACATGCTAAGCTTGGTGGTGCTCACCACTTTTTGAAATAGATATTACAATGATAGTTATAAATGAACACAAAGACTACTGTTATTGTACAAACGTGACTACATAATCTTCAATACAAAATTATAATATGTACAGATTAATCAAAGATTAGTAATAATGATTAATATTCCTTGAGCAAAATATATCACTTTCACTGTTTCCATACTATCAAGAATGACAGGGATAACATACATCCTTCACAAACATCCAATAGCTTTATAGAAGACCTATAAATTATAAGTGCATCTCACTTAACTTGGGGCTACACTTAAGCAAGTCACCATGGAACGCTGTATGAACTATCCAATGACACCGATATCTCAACCTCAGATTCACAGCAAGTAGATCAGCTTGCTGGACACATAAAAATAAAGTAAACTGCCAAAAACGCATCAGGTTTTTCCGTACAAAATGCAGAAACGCGTTGATTTCTCAACTGAATGCCCAAATGCACCGGTTACTATATTTCAAGATTCAACCATTAACATACCAATCAGAAACCCTAAACAAGTATAGCAAGCATGTCAATCTACCATCATATCTATGATATAAGGGCCACCCAAAAAGATTGCACATTAATTTTCCCAAATAAAATAAACAAGACTGCTGATTCAACTTCCTGATGCAATTCTATCATCATGCTTGTGTTCACCAGCCAATCTGGAGACTGGGTGTGTATAAGTATAACTCTACCAACAATTAGACCAGTAGATTCAATAACTGACACAGTATCCATAAGCTTGGCACATTTAGCCGTACGCACATATTAGCTGCCAGCGTGCCACACACTGCATCAACCAAGCTATTACTTGTAGAGCAATACATGGAATTCTCCATACCTTGAGACTCTCAACGACGCCAGGGACGACCTCATGCTCGAGCCCCGAGTACTCGCCCTCGGTGTTCTCCCGAATGACGACGATGTCCACGTTGTCGTGCCTGGTAGGCAGGCCAGGGAGGTTGAAGCAGTTGACGAGCGCAGCGTAGAGGTCGAGCTCCTTCCGGAGCTGCACGTTGAGGGAGGAGACACCGCCACCGACGGGGGTGGCGAGGCCGCCCTTGAGGCAGACCTTGTTGCGGCGGATGGACTCGATGACCTCGGCGGGGACC